AGTTGCACAAACTTTTTCCTTCTTCCAGATCACAAAACAGCACAGATTAGCCATAGAACAAACACATCCTTCAGTTATCCATCACTCTGTTCTTATGACGCGTCGGGAAGGAAACCAAATGCCATTAGTGTCCTTTATAGGAAGAATGGTTGAAAGTCCAGGTTGTGCTCTGTGTGAGGGTCTCATCAAACAGCCATTAGGTAGCCACTTGAAAACCCTTCATATATAAGCTCCTTGCTCATCGTGTGCCACCAGTTGTGCACATCTCTACACAATGTGTGCTTCTGGCACACGCTGATAAGCATTACTTTCTGAGAATCTGCTGGTGCACGCTGGAATCTGAATCCTGCAAATACAATGGTACCTCTGGTTACATACGCTTCAGGTTACAGACTCCACTAACCGAGAAATAGTACCTCGGGTCAAGAACTTTGCTTCAGGATGAGAACAGAAATCGTGCTCCAGCAGCACAGCAGCAGCAGGAGGCCCCCTTAGCTAAAGTAGTGCTTCAGGTTAAGAACAGTTTCAGGTTAAGAACGGACCTCCAGAACGAATTAAGTACTTAACCTGAGGTACCACTGTAGTGGCTGGTGAAAATGACTGCCCAGCGACAAGCTGGAAGCTGGCACACACACTGTATTGTAAAGTGTTTCTCCAGAGTTAGGACTTTTCGAGTGTACTTGTGGATTATGACTAAGCCTCAGTAATGTCTCAGAAAGAATTCCACCTTATTGCTCATTTCAGACAACACCGATACTGTATAGTAAAACACTGCAGGGTTTAAGGGAGAAAGAGAGTGGACAGTGTTAAGAAATCACTATTGTGAATTTGCACTGTAGGGATTAAGAGACTAATTGCTAATCTAGAAATGTATATAGATGAATATCTGCAGTCTTGTAGGAAATGGGAGTACTGAATGCTGAACCAAAGGGCTCTGAAATGTTCATATACCACTGATGGCAAGAACTATTTTAACTCCCAATCTCCTGGCAAAGAGGGGCCCCACCAGTGGGAAAACCCCATACCAACAGAAACCCACTCACCTATGGACAGCTAAGTGGCTGGAAGATATGTTTGCTGGCAATTTCTCCCATGGGAAGCCCCCAAAAGTGGCATGTTGTGGGAGAGGCAATAAAACAATGAACAGGGTGGTGATACAATGACTACTGTAATCAATACAAGATAATATCACCAAGGCAATTATCTGTAAACAAACCTCCATAAAAGTGGCAAAAGTAGTTTCTTTCCCAAATAGGTTTTATCTTGAAAAATGGCAAATGCAGTAATAAAGAGTCCATTTGTGATATATCAGTGGTTCAGTGCTTGACCGTCATTCCGGTAATCCGACGTTTTGTCACTAAAGAGCTTAGTCATCGAGTACTGAGCTGGAATGTAAATGGACTGAACTCCCCGGAAAAAAGAAGAGTCTTTCATTTATCGAAAAAAGAACAATTGGACTTGATTTGTTTACAAGAAACACATATGATAAGGCTACACAGGAAGATATTGAGTAATAAAAGATTGGGTCATGAATTTATCTCATCGGATAAAGTAAAAAAAAGAGGAGTAGTTCTTTATGCAAAGGAAAGCCTAGCACCGAAATTTATATTCAAAGATGACCAAGGAAGATTTGTTGCAATTGAAATTCAATTACAAGGAGAGAAATTCCTGATTGTAGGTATTTATGCACCAAATGAAGGAAAATCGGAGTTCTTTAAGAAGTTACATGAGACTCTGATGGATTACATGGATTATAATATGATCTTGATGGGAGATATGAATGGAGTGGTGTCTACAAGGCACAGAGACAGGTAGTCACCAAAGATGGTAGACTACCAAAAACCTTTTTTGACATGACTGAAAATATGGACTTAGTTGACATTTGGAGAATGAAGAACCCTCTGGGAAGAGAGGGAACTTTCTTCTCTGAGGCTAAAATGACATGGACTAGAATTGACCAAATTTGGGTAACTAGAGGACTGGTTCCGAAGATTAGCAAAGTGGAGATTTGTCCCAAAACTTGTTCTGATCATAATGCTGTGAAGATGGAAACGAAATTGACGCCAATTGGTTCCTTTAGATGGAGGATGAATGATACTTTGTTTAGGAATGAAGAAGTGACCAAGAAGGCCCAAAAAACCTTGAGAGATTACTTTGAGATAAATATGAATACTACAGTAGAAAAAAGAGTAATATGGGATGCAAGTAAAGCGGTTATGAGAGGATTCCTGATACAACAGAATGTAATCAAGAAGAGAATTCAAAATGAAAAAAAAGATAAAATCTTGGACAAAATAAAGGAAGGAGAGAAGAAACTGAGAGCAAAACCAAAGTCATAGGAGATCCTGAAAGAGATAAAGTTATACCAAGTACAATATATGAAATTGATGAATCAGGAAATAGAATGGAAGATTAAACAGATGAGGCAAAAGACATTCGAATCGGCAAATAAGTGTGGAAAATTGTTGGCCTGGCAAATGAAAAAAAGACAAAAACTTAATACTATTACGAATTTGGAAGTGGAAGGAAAGAATATACAGAATCCAGGGGAGATTAGAAAGTGCTTCCAGAGGTACTTTAAACAACTTTATACGCAGGAGAAGCAGAAAGAAATGGACATAGATCGATTTTTGAAAATAAATGGACTACAGAAAATCTCTCAGGAAAATAAGTCAATGTTGAATTATAAAATAACGGATCAGGAAGTGGAAGGGGACATCCAGAACATGCAATTAGGTAAATCTCCAGGACCGGATGGTTTGACTTCAAGATATTACAGAATTTTGAAAGAATGGTTAATACAACCATTGAAGGAAGTCTGTAACGAAATATTGGAAGGGAAAAGGGCACCAGAATCGTGGAAAGAAGCCTATATTACACTTATACCGAAAACAGAGACTGAAAAGACACAGCTTAAGAATTACCGCCCCATATCGTTGCTTAATGTGGATTATAACATTTTTGCAGACATTTTGGCTAAAAGATTAAAAAAGGTGTTAGCAGAAGAAATTCATAAAGATCAAGCGGGTTTTCTCCCGGGCAGACATTTGTCAGACAATACGAGGAACATAATTAATATTTTAGAAAAATTACAAGTGAATATTAATTCTAAAGCAGTTCTGATATTTGTAGACGCGGAGAAAGCCTTTGACAATATTTCTTGGAGTTTTATGAAGAAAAATTTACAGGGGATGGGGGTGGGTCAAGGTTTTGAAAATGGTATAAGTGCAATTTATTCAGAACAAAAGGCAAAATTAATTGTGAACAATGTAGTGACAGAAGAGTTTAAGATTGAGAAAGGAACACGACAAGGTTGCCCAATCTCTCCATTGCTTTTTATTTCGGTCCTGGAGGTTCTGTTAAATATGATTAGAAGGGACCAATTGGTTAAAGGTATACAAGTGGGAGCTAAACAGTACAAACTGAAAGCATTTGCAGATGACCTAGTATTGACTTTACAGGAGCCAGAATCTAGTACTAAAAGGGTATTGGAACTGATTCAAGAATTTGGACAGGTAGCAGGTTTTAAGTTGAATAAGATGAAAACTAAGGTCTTAGAGAGAAATTTAACTGTGAATGAGAGAGAAAAGTTTCAGGAGGAGACAGGATTAACATTGGTCAAGGAAGTGAAATATTTAGGGGTTAACATGACTGCCAAGAATGTGAACTTATTTAAGGATAACTATGAAAAATGTTGGATTGAAGTGAAAAAAGACTTAGAAATATGGTCAAATTTGAAGTTATCATTGCTAGGCCGAATTGCTGCGATAAAAATGAATGTGCTGCCGAGGATGTTGTTTTTGTTCCAAACGTTGCAGATTTTGGACAAGATGGATTGTTTCAAGAAGTGGCAGAGAGATATTTCTAGATTTGTCTGGCCAGGCAAGAAGCCTCAAATAAAATTTAAGATATTAACTGATGCTAAAGAAAGAGGTGGATTTGCCCTGCCAGACCTTAAACTTTACTATGAGTCAGCTGCTTTTTGCTGGCTGAGAGAATGGCTACTTCTTGAAAATACTGATGTGCTGGATTTAGAAGGTTTCAACAATGTATTTGGCTGGCATGCATATTTGTGTTATGATAAGGTAAAAGCACATAAAGCGTTTAAAAACCATATTGTTAGAAAAGCACTGTTTAATGTTTGGATAAGATATAAGGATTTGCTAGAAAATAAAACCCCAAGATGGTTGTCACCAATGGAAGCGAAGGCTCAGAAAAAACTCAATATGGAGGCCAAATGGCCGAAATATCGGGAAATTTTAGAACAAGATGGAGACAGAATAAAACTGCAGTGCTTTGAAAAATTGAAAAACAGAGTGCGAGATTGGCTCCATTACTATCAAATAATGGAGGTATATAACCTGGATAAAAAAGCTGGTTTCCAGGTGGAAAAATCAAAATTGGAAACAGAATTGTTAGATCCCAAAATTAAGAATTTGTCAAGAATGTATAACTTGCTGTTGAAATGGAATACTCAGGATGAAATGGTGAAATCTGCTATGATTAAATGGGCACAAGACGTTGGACATAACATTATGATGGCTGACTGGGAACAGTTATGGACCACACGTATGAAATTTACGGCATGTAATGCTCTAAGAGAGAACTTAATGAAAATGATTTATAGGTGGTACATGACACCAGTCAAGCTTGCAAAAATTTATAATTTACCTGACAATAAATGTTGGAAATGTAATGAAACCGAAGGTACATTCTTTCACCTTTGGTGGACATGCCCAAGGATTAAGACATTCTGGGAGATGATCTATAATGAAATGAAAAAGGTATTTAAATATACCTTCCTGAAGAAACCAGAGGCCTTTCTCCTGGGCATGGTCAGCCAATTGGTGCCTGTGATGAGTATGAGTTACTCGTGCGTAAACTGGTGCCTCTCTAGGCTAATTTGCCTTGTTAAACCTTTCTGACTGCACAGCCCTTTCTAATCATGACTGTCTCAGTCACTGGCAGAATCCGTCAGTGGGCGTTTCTTGAATCTCTTCCAACATAAGAGTTGTTTGACACCCAGTCTCCTCCTCCTCTCACTGCGCGGGAGCCTTCTGCGCAGGGAGGGCGTAGGTAGCGGAGGACCTGTCCCCTCCTCACTGAGTTCCAGTGAAGAGTCCGGGAGCCCTCTCTCCGATTTCCCCATCTGCCCACTTTTGTTCCTGGTGTTGCGCTTAAATGCTTCCCCCTCCACTGAGCTGCTTCTCCCCCTGCTGCTGGGTCCTTCTCCAGCATCATCTAGGAGCCTCCCCTTCGCCTCCCGCTCCGATGTCAGTTCCCTGACATCCACCTCCCCCCCAGAATCCCCTCCACCCCTGGACCGACCTGTGGGACCAACTTCGTCCCCTTCGTCGGCCGAGGAGGCGGGGAACCCCCAGAAGGAACTGTCACCATCTTCTGTGGATTCGAAACCCACTTCCCACCCGCTCTTCCACCTGCCAATGGGGTGGTCCTCCCAGTCTGATTCTTCTTCCTCCGAAACCTCTCCTCCCTCCTCCTCGGAGTCAGAAAATCCCTCAAAAACCTCTTCCTCATCTGTGGTTCCAAATTGCTCCTCCCAGAATCTCTCCAGGGGTTTGGGTTTGTCCGGGAACCGGCGGTGGAATACCTCCACCAGATACCTGTTCTCGAAGGCTTCCGTGGGGACCCACGTGTTTTCGGACCTGGGTTCCCCTTCCCACGCTACCAAATACTCCACCCGGCGCCCTTGCCACCTTGAGTCCAGTATTTCCGTGGCCCTGTGGTGGTGTTCCCTTTCTTCTACCTGCGGGTGTGTGGTGACTTCTCCCTCTTGCCCCTGGAATTCCCGCCCTTCCCTATGCGGTGAGAGCAGGGACCTGTGGAAAACCGGGTGTATTTTCATGCTATCAGGCAACTTGAGCTTAAATGCCACGGGATTAACTTGCTGTGTTACCTCAAAAGGTCCCAGCCGTCTGGGCTGCAACTTCTTGCACCCCCCTTTGAAAGGTAGCCCTTGGGTGGACAACCACACCCGGTCCCCCACCCGTATGGTCTCCCCTTCCCTGCGGTGCTTGTCTGCCTGCCTCTTGTAAGTTTCCTTGGCCCGCTCCAAGTTCATCTTAAGTTGCTGGTGTAGGGCCTCCATTTCTTCCACAAACTGCTCTGCAGCGGGTACGCTCCAGCTTTCCTCCCCACTCCCGGGAAGGCCCTGGGATGACACCCATGGTTGGCCATGAATGGGCTCATTCCCGTGGACACGTGTTCCGCGTTGTTGTACGCGAATTCAGCCAGCGCTAGTTTTTCTACCCAATCGTTCTGCCTCTCGCTGACATAGCAGCGTAGGTATTGCTGGAGTATACTGTTCGCTCTTTCTGCTTGCCCGTTGGTCTCTGGGTGTCTCGCCGTCGAGAAACCCACCTCCACCTGCAGCAAGCTCATGAGCTTCCTCCAGAACCGGGAAGTAAATTGTTTTCCGCGGTCGGAGATAACCCTCAAGGGGGCGCCATGCAGCCGGAATATGTGCTCCACAAACAACCGGGCTGTTTCCTCTGCCGTTACAGCATGTGAGCAAGCTATAAAATGGCGCATCTTTGTCAGTAGGTCGACCACTACCATGACTGCCGTCTTTCCCCGGGACTTGGGCAAATCTGTCATAAAATCAATGGATACCACCTCCCAGGGTTTCCCGGCGTGGGTAAGGGTTCCAGTAATCCTGTGGGGGCAGCCCGCTCCCCCTTTGCCCTTTGGCAGCGGTCGCACCCCCGTACATATTCCCGTACATCCTCCCTCACCCTGGGCCACCAGAACTGCCTGGTCACAAGCATCATGGTTTTGTGCTGTCCAAAGTGCCCTGCTGTGGGGTTGTCGTGGAGTTGTTTGAGTACCTTTCCCCTCAGGGTCTCCCCCGGTACATACAGCGCTCCCCTATAGTACAGTACCCCTTCCTTCTCCTCAAACCCTTCTTGGGTCCCTCTTCCGTCTCGTAGTTCCCGGATTTTAGTTTGCGCGAACACGTCGTTTCTGGTCAGCCCGGCTAGTTCTCGTTTCCCCACCAAAGTTCCCCACACACCCATCGGTCCTCGGGGATCACGTGTCGTTTCTCCGGCGGCCCCTCTCCTTCCAGGTACTCCGGTTTACGCGAGAGCGTCTGCTCTTACGTTTTCCTCTCCGGGCACGTATCGGATTTCAAAGAAAAACTTGGAGAACTCCTGTGCCCATCGAATCTGTCTCTGGTTGAGTACTCGTGCGGTTCTCCAGTACTCCAAGTTCTTGTGATCTGTGCAAACCTGGATCTGTTGTTGCGCCCTATCAGTAGATGACGCCAACGACGAAGGCCGCGTAGATTGCCAGCAGTTCGCGGTCATACAATGTATAGTTTTGCTCCGACTTGCTCAGTTTTCTCGAGAAAAAGGCACACGGTTTCCATTCCTGCTTGCCCCGCCCTGGCTGCAAAGGACCGCCCCTACGGCTCTGTCGGACGCGTCGGTCTCTAGCCTCAGGGGTTTCTCCAGATCTACGTGCAGGAGTTGCTCTTCCGATGCGAACGCCTTCTTCAGTTTTCGAAGGATTGCTGGGCCTCTTCTGTCCACACAAACTTCTTTTTGCTACTGAGACAATCCGTGATGGGCGCTGTCAAGTGGGCGAAGTTCTTGATGAACTTCCTGTAGAAGTTGCTGAACCCTAGGAACCTCTGTACGTCCTTCCGTGTTTTGGGAGCCTTCCACTCCAGCACTGCCTGCACCTTGCTTGGGTCCATCGCTAAGCCTTTGTCAGACAACTTGTACCCCAGAAACTCGACTTCTCTGGCGTGAAACTGACATTTTTCCAGCTTGACCCACAACTGGTGCTTCTGCAGTCGTTGTAACACTTCCCTGACGTCTCTAACATGTTGCTCCTCATTGTCCGAATAAATTAAGACGTCGTCCAAGAAGGCTACGCAGTTCTTGTACAGCAGAGACCCCAACACGTGGTGCATGAAAGCTTGAAAACAGGCGGAGCCCGACTGTAATCCAAAAGGCATAACTAAGTACTCAAAGGCACCTAGGGGTGTGAACATTGTGGTCTTCCATTCGTCCCCCTCCCTCATCCTGATCAAATTGTATGCGCCCCTGAGGTCCAGCTTGGTAAAAATTTTGCCTTTCCTCACTCGCGTTAAAATGTCGTCAATCCTGGGCATTGGGAAGGTCACGGGTTCTGACACCAAATTGACAGCTCTATAGTCCACTACGAGCCTGGGTTTATTTGTGTCCTTTTTGTCCACAAAGAACACCGGACTGCCCCCTACTGCCTTTGATTCTCTTATGAAGCCTCTTTTCAGGTTCTTGTCAATAAATTCTCGCAACTCCTTCATCTCCCTGTCAGACATGGCGTACAGCTTACCCACTGGCAGCTGAGCCCCCGGAAGCAAGTTGATCTGGCAGTCAAAGGGCCTATGGGGTGGCAGTCTATCTGCCTCCTTCTCGCTGAAGACCTCCCGCAGATCTGCGTATTGTGGCGGCACCTCCCCTTTCCGCTCCACCGCCATCCCAGCCACCCTGGCCACGGTCATTCTTGGGGCTTCCCCCCCTAGACAGTGTTCCAGGCAGTAAGCTGACCCAAAGGTGACTGTCCTCTGATGCCACGCCACCACTGGATCATGTTGTGCTAGCCAGCTCATCCCTAATATTATTGGGGGCCCTGCTAGTGAGGCGACGTGAAGGCGATGGTCTCCGAGTGCCTGGACACCCTCATTCTCATTGGTGGGGTCTGGTGTGTCACTTCCCCTCCTAGAAGCTCCCTGCCATCAATGGTGGTCACTTGCAAGGGAAAATCCAAAGGCAGTAAGTGGAGCTGGTGCTCTAATGCAAAGTCTTTGCTGAAGAAATTACATGAGCTGCCTGAATCCAGCATCCCTTTCACCTTGACTGGGTGCCCGTTCGGGAGTTCTAGCACCACTTCGATGGCTATTGCCGCCTTGGGGGGGTCTGGTTGGGGCACTTTTACTGGTGGCTGGCCTGGCTGTTGTGCCCCTTGATTGGCAGCCAAGCGTTCCCGTTTCCCTGTTCCTGTTCCTTTACCACCTCCTCCTCACCCCCTGCGGCTCCCACCATTCCTTGCCAGGCCTTTCTTTGAGGGCAGGCTCTGGCAAAATGGCCTGGCCGCTGGCAAAGGTAACACTTCTTGGAGGTTTTCCAATCCTTTCCCTCCTTTTTGCGCCCTTCGCTGGTGCTTGAAACTCCCGCGCGCGTGCCCCATCTATTTCCATTGGCTCTGCTGGCGGGGAAGGCTGCCTTGGTATTTCAGGAATGCGGTAGTCATGGCAACGTTGCTCTCTCCCTTCCCGCCTCTCCTGGGCCCGCGCTTCCTGCCGCACGCCAATCGCAAGCACAGCCTTGGTCAGCTGATCCATCCCCTGTGGGCGGGGTGCGCGGGAAAGTTCATCCTTAACCGTTGGGGACAACCCCTCCTCGAATAACATCTGTATGGGTTCGGAGTCCAGTTGCCACCCGAGGCGGTGAACTATCATGGCAAAGCGCGACCAGTAGTCCCTAACTGACTGGCTCCCCTGTTTACAGTTCATCAATTCCCGCTTTGTCACACTTTTTTTGAACATCAGTGGAAAACATTGCGTCCATTGCTTGGAAGAATTTCCTCAGGTCCTGCATGGCGGCATTCTGCGTCGCCATAAGGGGCCTGACCCATTCCCTGGCCCCGTCCTGCAGGTGACCCACAATATATGCCACCCGCGCCGCGTCGTCTTCAAAATCGTCATGCTGCAATTCCAATGCGTACTCTATTTCCGTTCGAAACGCACTGTATTCTTGCGGCTTCCCCCCAAATTTGTGCACCAGTCCCGGTACCTTCCTTGCTATGGGGGTGGGTCTGACCTGTGCATCTTGAGACCGCCTTTCGTCCAGCCGCGCCGTCAGAATGGCCACATGCTGCTCCAACTCTCGGTTCCTCTCCACCAGCGTTTGCCCTCCAGCTGCTCCCCCCTGGGTGCTGGCTTCTCCGGGCTTGCTCATGATGCTGCCTGCCTGCTGCTGCGCACGAGCAACTTTCAGGGACTGACGGATTGCTGTGATGAGTATGAGTTACTCGTGCGTAAACTGGTGCCTCTCTAGGCTAATTTGCCTTGTTAAACCTTTCTGACTGCACAGCCCTTTCTAATCATGACTGTCTCAGTCACTGGCAGAATCCGTCAGTGGGCGTTTCTTGAATCTCTTCCAACATAAGAGTTGTTTGACACCCAGTCTCCTCCTCCTCTCACTGCGCGGGAGCCTTCTGCGCAGGGAGGGCGTAGGTAGCGGAGGACCTGTCCCCTCCTCACTGAGTTCCAGTGAAGAGTCCGGGAGCCCTCTCTCCGATTTCCCCATCTGCCCACTTTTGTTCCTGGTGTTGCGCTTAAATGCTTCCCCCTCCACTGAGCTGCTTCTCCCCCTGCTGCTGGGTCCTTCTCCAGCATCATCTAGGAGCCTCCCCTTCGCCTCCCGCTCCGATGTCAGTTCCCTGACAGTGCCAAAGAAGGATAGAACTTTTTTTATGTATGCAACAACAGCAGCAAGAATACTTATTGCGAAGTATTGGAAAACACAAGGTTTACCCACCCGGGAAGAATGGCAGATGAAGTTGATGGACAATTTGGAAATGGCGGAAATGACTGGCAGAATCCGAGACCAGGGAGAAGAATCGGTGGAAGAAGACTGGAAAAAGTTTAAAGATTATTTACAGAAATACTGTAAAATTAATGAATGTTAGAAAAATGTTGGAATGAAGTTATATGGCTTTAGTAGAAATGCTATAAGGAATTAAGTATAAATAGATTAATAGAGTATTAAAGGGAAAATAAGGTTAGAATGTGTTAAGATAATTATAGGATAGAAAACAGAGGAAGATGGAAAGGAATTGCTGAAACAATTAACAGAAGTGGAATACAAAAAGGGAGGTGTGAGGAGGTCGTGGAAACAAGTGAACGAAAGATAAGATAATGAAATGGTTTTGTTTTTGTTTTATTAGTTTTATGTGATAGTGTTTTTGTATTGTATTGCATTGTCTTTTTTGCTTTTTTTTGTAGTGTTGTGTTTAAATTGTTGGAAAATTAATAAATATTATACAAAAAATAAAGAGCTTAGTCATCGAGCTTTGTAGTAAATAATACACAAGAGAAGACAGTATGTAAACGACTTAAAGCAGGGGCATATCTGTCCTCATCTGCATGTTTCCATTGGGAGGAGTCTAGAAAGAGGATGATGTCCTTCAGTTTGTTAAACCTCCTTTATTTACTGTGTTTAAGATAAAACCTATTTGGGAAAGAAAGTACTTTTGCCATTTTTAATGTACTTTTAGTGTTTCTTTACAGAGTGTTGTGTACTGGCAGTGGTTTTCCAAAATCTTAAATGGGCTTCTCTCCCAGGCCTTCCTGGAGATACCAGGGACTGAACCTGAGTCCTTCTGCTTGTTAAGCAGGTGCTATATCACTGAGCCATAGCCCTTCCACAATAAAATAAATAAATAGCAATAAGTCAACCTGCCATGGCAGTCCCTGCTGCAGCTGCCAAAAGCACAGGAAGAGGCTGGCACCAGTGGGGGCCAGGAGAGCCCCTGAAATGAAGTGGAGGATGGTGGGAGGGGCTGTACTATGTTAGGCTGGATCAACAAAAAATAGGATAAAGGCCCCCCCTCCAAAAAAACCCTTCTGCCCTGGATGGTTCAAGCAGCAGGATGTAGATGCATTTGTGACTCTGCCACTACTGCTTCCAGCCAGGAGTCAGGATTAGTTCCTCAATGGCTTTCCTTATTTAAGAAGTCTGCTGACATTCTGTGCATACCTATGTATGTATACAGCGACGCGGGTGGCGCTGTGGTGTAAACCACAGAGCCTTGGGCTTGCTGATCGGAAGGTTGGTGGTTTGAATCCCCACGACGGAGTGAGCTCCCGTTGTTCGGTCCCTGCTCCTGCCAACCTAGCAGTTCGAAAGCACATCAAAGTGCAAGTAGATAAATAGGTACTGCTCCGGCAGGAAGGTAAACGGTGTTTCTGTGTGCTGCTCTGGTTCGCCAGAAGCGGCTTGGTCATGCTGGCCACATGGCCCGGAAGCTGTACGCCGGCTCCCTCGGCCAATAAAGCGAGATGAGCGCCGCAACCCCAGAGTCGTCCGCAACAGGACCCAATAGTCCGGGGTCCCTTTACCTTTACCTTTATGTATGTATACACATATCTGTATTCACTCTCTGTTGTTTGTTAGCAAAGTAAGTTTTTTATTTTTAAAAAGTTTTATTTAATGCTGCTCATTAGCATGGGGAAAATAATTATTATTTGGCAGTGTTTCACTGAATAAATCATAGCAAATAACCACAGTAAAGGAATCTGCTTGGGGCTATAGGTGCACTGCCTTTGAAACAACAACCTTGAAGAGTGTTAAAGAAATAAAGTCAGATTACAGATCCTCCTTGGCTTTTCTGGGACAGCGAAAAGTTCCAGATACAGAATGTTTTATTTAAATGCTACATGAGTCACAAAGTTGAGGCAGTTTTTTGGAGTACTTTTGAAATAAAATAATAATTATATAAATGATCACAAAAGAGACTCTTCCATGTCCAGTTTACTGCAACATGTAGACTGAGGACTGTCAGCCTCTAGTGCACTTTAGTCTATGAGCCTTGGTTAGAATTACAATTAGGGTTAGGATCAGTGCTATTTTTCTATAAAAAGAAGTTCCGGAACTCACCGTGAACTCACCCTCATTCTCTTGGAATGGCAATGGTGCCCATCTGAGTGGTGCCAGGACTCACTACAACTCTGCAACCTCCGAATGTGTTCTTTAAATGCATAAAAAGGGTTTTACTGAACACTCCCACTGCCTTGCCACTCAGCTATAAAAGGTAATATTTCTTCAGCATAAATCATTCCACAGATGACAAAGAAACACCCAGCTATCTTCACAAAATTGAATTGTGGTCATAAGCAGTGAAATGAGAGCTAGAACGTTCGTGTCCCCAAGAGATATTGCAACAGTTTTTGTTGTTGGGTTGTGTTCTTACCAGTAACCCTACCCAAAAGCCTGCGTTCATTTTTTAATGTGTTTGTTTTGGAGAGCAGGCAATAGTTGAGAAGGGCTGGCTTGGATTCTAAGTGTCCCCAGGTTTGTAGTTAACTAAATTATCCTCAGCATCTCATTTCATCTCCATAGGAGATGATCCAAACTAAGTAAGGTAATTATCATGGAGAGAAAAATATTGAGACAGTGTGAGCGAACGGAGAGCCATATAATGAAATCCTGCACAGTACAAACCACGTTTCTGCCGAGAATGGAAGAGGAGTCAGTCAGGGAAGATGAACACAGCAAGTCACTGAATAGTCGGAACAGTTGTCCTTATACAAAATTCAGAAGCTGCTCCCTCACGTCAGTACCAAACAAATTGCACCATCTGGTAAAACAAGATGAAAGTCTTCTAACAAGAATCTTGCTGAGTAGAGACCCCCGGCTATAAAAGTAAGGCTCGTGTAAACAGGCTGTGGTGCTCCCCGCTCCCCAGTCTATTAAGGAGAATTTTTCTAGTGTCCAGACAGCTTTTAAAAGCCTCAATAAGAAAGAAGGTTATGTGTAGATTCATCAGCCATGGACAAAGCAACCAGTGGTGGCTGGTGCCTGTTGGGACTTGAAGGGTGGATGGTGGGGAGGCTAACACTAGGTGAAGCCAGAGTGAGAGCCAACAACAGGAACAGCCAACAGATTCTAGTTTTGCCCTCATCTTTCTCCCTACTGAGTTCTACAGTGGCAACACCAAGGAAGAGGAAGCTGACAAACAGGGCTGCCCACTGGACCAGATGTAAATAAGAAAGCTGCAGGTGGAAGCTGGCTGAGGGCAGATTGGTGTTGGTGGGGCAGTGACCCAGTCACACCAATGGATCACCTTTCACTGAAAACAACAAGGACCCCTGTACGTCAACCTCCATTATTCTGTAAAACATTTACCTGCATTTGTTCAAAAAGTAAAATTCAGAAGCTCTCACAGTTTCCCAGTGACACCATCAAAAATTAGGTTTTGTTGGCAGGCCTTAATGTAAAACACAATGTGACTTGATCATGCACTATTGCAACTAATTTGCAAACAATGAAAACTATAAATTTAACTGGTGGGATTTCTATTTTATGCCTTGGGTTGTGGGAAAATAAAACCAGCACAACTTTGAAAAGTTTAAAAGCAATTTACTCTTTCAGCTGGTTGGGTGAAGACATCAGGAATGCTGTTCTGGGTGCCACAACCATTCTTCCTCCATCACCAGAGCCTCCAAGTTGTAAGATGTTTTTTAAAAGAAAATTAAGCTGTGGATGGCACCTTTGTAATTACAAGACTATTTTAGAGCCTTCATTTTTAGCACCAAACCCCTAAAATCCTCCATAATGACTCAGGTATAATTGCTTCACTATGTACAATTCACAAATTGAATTTTTCATATTTCTATTTACCAAAGTAGCAGGTCAATACCATTTGTGAAACCAGAAATAGATAACTAGAAAAGCCACTTGCAGGAGATGACACGCTGTTTTCTATGGTTTTCTCCTCTTCTCTCCAAAACCCACCATTGGCTAACATTTACTTAAAAGATTATGTCACCTTTGTTCACCACCACCCCCCCCCAAAAAAAAAACTGTTCCAAAGATTGACACTGATAAGTTGGAACCAGAAACCAATTATTTAGTAAAACAGTTAATCTGGACATTTTTTACCTTTTTAAAACAAAGATCTTGTATGTCATATTTGGGTTCAAAGGAAACATATGATTTGGATTATTGCTTTATAAGCTCTAATTCCCCAGATCTCACTGTAGAAACAAAACATCTACTGGAGAGATTTTCTATCTTAAAAACCCCTCTGAGAAAAATTAATATTCATGCACAGCTGTCCATTTAAGACTAACTAAGTAATTATCCTAGTTTAGCTAATTCCCACTGAGTGGGCTGCTTCTCTTACATTTTTATGCATCTTAACAGTACTAAATAAATAAATTTCAGAAGTATAAAAAGAAGAATTTAATGACAAGACAAATCAAAGTTGCCTTGTTTGAGAAAGAGCCTGATCAAAAGCCTTCTGTATTTCCTACTTCCCTCATGTCCTAGGCTTATAGCTATACAGTGGCACCTCGGGTTACAGACGCTTCAGGTTACAGACTCCTCTAACCCAGAAATAGTACCTCAGGTTAAGAACTTTGGTTCAGGATGAGAACAGAAATCGTGCGGCGGCAGTGGCGGCAGCGGGAGGCCCCATTAGCTAAAGTGGTACCTCAGGTTAAGAACAGTTTCAGGTTAAGAATGGACCTCCAGAACGAATTAAGTTCATAACCAGAGGTACCACTGTACTGTAAGGCAACATAATTAGTACCAACACACAAATGTGACGCAGCCCATCTTTTAAGTCAGCCTTCTCAGCCTGATGTTTTATTCATTTTATTTATTTATGAAAAACATTTGAAATCACTAATTTTAAAAAAATTAAAGTGGTTTGCAACTCTCTCTCCCTCCCTCCCTCCCTCAATATGCACACACAACATGCACAATAAAAGCCACATTAGAATTTAAAACCAGAAATCATCCAGTAACTGTTTTAGAAAGGTATTTTTCAGCAGTTTTCAGCAGGCATTTAAAGGTTTAAATAGAAGGCACCTGCTGAATCTCTACTGGCAGAGCATTCCACAGGGCTGAACCAATGACATTAAAGGCCCAGTTTCTTGTTGTCAGATGAGCCTTAACTCAGGGGAGAACCAATGATACTCCTGCAAATGATCTTGGTGACTGAGCCAGGACAGTACCCTGCAGAGCTCCATAGAACAAGTACTAGAGGACCGAGGAGTACTCATCCAGAGCCACTCTCTGAATAAGGCTCTGAAGAGTGGAACCATCATAATAATGTTCCCTCAACATCCATCCTATTAAGTTGGTCCAGGAGGAAACTATGGTCAACAGTACTAAAAGGCACAGAGTGGCTGATGGGACATGTAGTCCAAAATACTGGAGGGAACCAGTCTTTAATTAAAACCCATTGGTGTTAAAACTTCTAAGATTTTCAGTGAGGTTTTCTATGTAAATTCTGTTTAAAGCATCTAGTTGATTTTCTAGATTAAATCAACATTCAAAGGTAGGAGAGTGGGGATGTGTTAGCTGGTTTCACCACTGACATGTTGCCATGAGCGGGTCCCAAGGGTTAACCGTGCGGCGAGGTCCCAGTCCAGTCCAAGGTAGAGGGTGTGGTATGGAGGCTGTCCATCAAAGCTGTAGCTGGGTCCAAGGCAGGGAGTCGGGTGAGGTCAGGAACTCTGGCAGAAGAGCAGGACAGGGTGTAGGCTACCAACAATGTTACTCCCGCAACCTGGGACTGGGCTGGCTGGCTTTTATCTGCCCCAAGGCATAGGGCGGCCCCGGTCCACAGGTGACTCGCCTCTCCTGGCCTGGAGGCGAGCACTCCTCCTGCGAGGACTTAGTTCCCTCCA